CTATTGACACCTAGTAGCATTGAGACAAAGATGCTTCCTTCCTTAGTATTAGGATGGAGACAGAGATAGAGAAAGAAAAATATAAATATGCAGTTCATTTAATCCCTGCCATCTCTATTTGGTGAAAAACTGTATTAAGACGACACCAACCCCTGCATATGTAATTTTGTATAATTATACTTGTGTAACTACAGGTAATTACTTTCTATCACCCAAGAAGGTAGAAAATCCTCTTAAAAATTTGAACATGAACCTTAATTCTGAAATAATGTTTTTACCGTTACCCATAACCTCTTCCACCTTCACATTTTAGTCATTTTTCCCTCCAGGATGATCCTGAAATATTATGAAAAATTTTTGTAAAATGTTTCATGTTAAAACACATTATATCGTTTAGAAACAATTTAAAAAAAAAAAAAAACAGCTTATTTTCTCCCCAGTCAATATAAAGGAAAGGAAAACAAAGCAGCTAGGGGGGAAAAAAAAAGCCTTGTCTGATTTTAATATCTGCTTTGATTCAGAAGGGATCAGAAAGATGAACTACAGACATCTCCTTTTTCACGCTCATCCACTAGACTGAACAAGGAAAAATTCACAAATAGGCTACAAATTGGAAATCAAACCAGAGACAAACTCTGAAAGGGCTCTAGCCATGAACACAACACTTTGCAGAGTGTGAAAGCCATGGTGCACAGGTCTTGGTGGCTACAATCAAGAGGGACAAGTTTGTAGATAGCATTTCCCCTGTTCTCAAAGTCATCGTAGAGGTAAGCGTCTGCCTTCCATTACTCTCAGGAATCCATGTGCCCTTTCTTAGAAGTTCCACTAAGAATAGCATTATCCCGGAGGTGCACAATGGCTCATACCTGTAATCCCAGCACTTTGGGAGTCCAAAGTGGGTGGTTCACTTGAGATCAGAAGTTTGAGTGCAGCCTGGCCAACATGGCGAAACCCCATCTCTACTAAAAATACAAAAATTAGCTGGGCATGGTGGCACACTCCAGTCCCAGGTATTCAGGATGCTGAGGCAGGAGAATCACTTGAACCTGGGAGGTGGAGGTTACAGAGAGCAGAGACTGTGCCACTGCACTCCAGCCTGGGTGACAGAGCGAGTCTCTGTCTCAGAAAAAAAAGAACAGCATTATCGCAGACAACTCTGTCTCTTCCCACCAAGGGACCTACAAAGGCTTGTCCATTTTGAAACCAGAGAAATCAGTAACAGAGATCTTAGAAGATGGCTGGGGTAGTGCCTCATGCTTGTAATCCTAGCACTTTGAGAGGCTGAGATGGGCAGATCACCTGAGGTGAGGAGTTTGAGACCAGCCTGACCAACATGGTGAAACCCATCTCTACTAAAAATAAAAAAAATTAGCTGGGCGTGGTGGTGGGCACCTGACAAGAGTAAAACTCTACCTAAAAAACAAAAAACAAAACGAGCTCTCAGAAAGAAGACGAAGCACCTTTTTTCTGTGTTATGACTAACCTTACAAGCCACTCAGCCACCTAGATTGTGACTTTAGAATTATTTTATCAGAAAAATCTGCTCCACCGGGATGTTGTGCTGAGAAGGAATGTGACACCCATCTGCCTCCTCAAAGGTGTTGTGGTTTATTATCCTCTAATAAATTGTTCTTCTTGCCTTGTTGGTGCAATGGCCCTTTTAACTTGGAAAACTTAAAAGACTGCAGATGATTTCTATGATGTGTTCTCTCCAAAAGGAAGAAAGGGAAGTAGCACCGGCTGAGTATGCACCTCGGTTCCAGCTGCTGTGCTAGTCGTGGGCAGACGGTCCTGTGGGGCCCTCCTATAACCTCAAAATGGAAAAGACGCTGCCCAGTTTCACAGCTGAGAAAACCCATGCCCAAACAGGTTAAATGACTGAACCACTGGCCCATGGCTCAAAAGCAGGAAAGCTAAAATTAAATCTAGGCCCAGTGAACTCCAAAACCTTGTCATGTGATGCTTCCTGGGCATTGCCTACTTGGGAGCAGAAAAATGAGAAATAGCAGTCTTCACCTTATGAACTGAACTTTTCTTCAAAGTGATCCAGAAGATGATCCCAACCTCAAATTAATCCTTAAAGTTCAGTAAGGAGTTTAACAGGCAAGATGACTCCTCTTTGGGAAGTACAGAGAGAATTCTGCCTGGGACTGCTTACAGCATCTAGAGATTTTGCAGCCAGACCCTGGTATCAGCAGCTAGCTTTCAGCGTTTTCCCAAGACCGTCTCTAGGTGGCGCCATGACCATGCGGTTCTGTTTACTGAGGCCTGTCTATTTCTGGCTGACTGGGTACTCAAAGTGAAAATATCTGCTTGTCAAAAGTTGTTGGATCATTTCCAGCATTCAAAATCATTACTAAATAGTCGTTCCAACTTCTCAACTCTCTGAGGCAAGACTGTGGCCTGGGAGAAGCTGCAGGGGAAGAACTAAAATCAAAAACTGAAAAAGAACCATGGAAAAAGAAAGAAAACCAACACTCTCTTATGATTATTCTCTGTGCAGGGTCTTTGCTTTTTCTAGGATGACTTTTCAAGTCCTCATAAGTGCTAAAGGTCTTAACACCACCTCCAATTAACATTGTTAAAATAAAAAATAAAAAAAAATAAAAAAACTATTATTCTGTACTCATGAAGCAGAACACTCCCCAGACAGGGAAAACTAAGACAGAGATACACCAAGACTAAGCTGTACAAGGAATTAACAAGAATGTTTAGACAGATGGAGCTACACTGAGAAAATTTACTCCGATTTTGGCTCATGGAATACCCTGGTCACCTCACGTAAGAACAGGGCCTGAAAATAAAAACGAGATGCTTCATAGCACACACTCCCATTCCAGATACCCCTTACAGGGACCCAGATTCTACAGTAATCCTATTTCCTCCATGCGGTCATCCCACAACCTCCCTCTCTCCTCAGTCCCTCCATACTGTGCATTCTGGGATCCAACTACCCCCGAGGAAAACCACTACTGGGACGGAAACACATGCATCCCCGGGACAGCACATGGAAAGAATTCAGGTTTTGGACTTTCTACATAGCTCAGAAGAAATCCAGGCACTGGCAGGAGGAAGATGATAAAATTGCAGTCACAGGAGCACCTTAGAACCAGGCTCTCCTTCAGGAGAGGAATCAATTAAGAGTATTTTCCAAATGTACATGCCCTGATTCTTCCTTGGTAATTTTGATATGACTTGAGAGTAAGAGAGATTGCGCGATTTTGCAAAGCTTCCCAAGTGACCTCGATACGTCTTGCTTACCACATAAAAGTAAAACTTGGAAGGAATCGAGGGTGAGGCATAAAGTGAGTCCCATCCACCTTCCCTGGACCATCGCTCTGGCAGAGTGGCTCTGCCAGCAAGGTCACTGCCACCCTGGAGCTTTTGGTCATACACACACAAGTACAGGAAACTCACCCGCTCCACCAGTCATGACACTTTTTGCTAAAAATTTTAAAAACTTATTCAACTAAAAGATAAAGTGGAATGCCAAGGTCGAAATATAAAATATGATATAAAAATAATTTCAGAATACCTCTGTAAGGCAAGCTGCAAAGCTGAATATTCAGTAAGTATTCTTATTTAAAATGTCATATTAAAACTAACACTAGAAAAACAATAACTTGTTAAGAGTGTTAGTTTTTTAGGTTTTTAGGCATTTTTAGTTTAAGAGACACTACTGGAGAGTTAAAGAAATGATCAGTCTGACCCACTGCTGGTTAAAATGGGCATGACTTTCTGTGTTTGGAAAGCAATTTGACAGTATCAAGAGCCTTGAAAACATCTTATACAAAGTACAGTTCCACAAATTTATCCTAGTAATGTGAGCATGGGTGTGCATACATTCTGGGCTGTAAGATATTAATTATAGACTTATGGTAATTTCAAAACATTGAATCATTTAGTAAAAGGCCTTGGTTAAATACAATGCATTACATCTAAATAATGAAAAACAAATCAATAATGAAACACAGTACATGTTAAGTAATATGAAAACATTTTCAAAGAATATTCCCATGAAAGACAAGGCTTCTCAAATAACACATAAAGCACGATACCATTTGTCAAATTACATATAAATATTAATAGTGTGTATATATACAGATATATACATTGTATGTATATACGTATATTTGGGTGTGTCTGTGGATATGTATATGCACAAATACATATATATAAAACATATACACTATACACACACACACATACATATATATAGCACATATATTTTTTTCCCAAGGAAAGAGTATTTGAAACTATAAAATAAGGCCTGGTGATTTCTAATCACCGAAGCCAAAATCTCAGTAATGCCATTTATGATGGGGATTAAAATGGAAATCCAATTTTACACCTACAGAATTTGATATTAGCTTAAGGTCACTCAGAGACTTCATGGGGATAAAATTAAGAACATAATGCAAATAGAAATAAAAACAATGGATTATATTCGGGACAAGCTGTGTTCTGATTTGCAAACTGAAAAAAAAAATCTAGGAGACAACCTATTAAAATTCATAGCAAGAGAAGCCTTTTAAGCATACATAAATTGTGTTAATGTCATCATGATTAAATTTCAGGAGACTTTCAATCTGACTTTGATATAAAATTGATGTATGTAAGTAATCCACTCACTAACCCAATAATAAGATCCATCCCACAGCTGCCATCATTCATTTAAGTCAAACACAAATCTTAAGCGTCTTGTGAAGTAGATTTAATGAAGTCGAGATGCATCCCGGCCGAACTACTCTTGGTTACACTTAATCAGAACTGAATAAACAAACTCAGTATTAGTCACACTTGTGCAAGTTATTCCATTTCACTGAAGCCAGAAGAGATTTTCATGTGATCCTGCTTAAACCAGCTAAACATCTGGAAATGTGGAAACTATTCTGTAAAGCGCAAGAGGACCACACGCTCGGAAGAGACATCAGTTATGTGGCTGAGGTCAGGCCCGGGGAGGCTGGAGGGAGAGCGCATACTGGAGATAGCTTACTTACAATGAAGCCAAGTTTCTTATAATCTCGCGTGTACATGGACTTGCGTTTCTCCATGCTGCCACTGCTGTTATTAGGTTCAGACTCGGCATCAAAAGCAATTCTTCGAAGTTCAAATATGATGTCCCTCTGAGCCTGAAGGAATCAGGGAGTAGAAAGAAAAGGGAGGGGAAAAAGCTGCTTTCATTGTGTGACATTACATATACTCCCTCTTTCCCTGGGGTCTAAATGAATCACTGCATTCAGGCAAAAGAAAAACAGATAAAAGAGAACCAATGTTCTAAGTTACAGCTTTGCAGACCAGTCTTCCCCTGTCAGTCTCCCTGCTGGTCAGGCCTAGCTGTATTCCACAGTGGTCCTCTTAGCCAAGTAGTCATCTGGAGCACGAATATTGATGGTCCAGTGCAGTCTTAACCGAGAGGCCCAGATATGATGGAAGGGTCGTGATTGGAGAAAGCTAAGCTAGAGAAACTGGGGATACTGTACAGTTGGGAACAAAGTAAGAGGTACCCAAAGTGCCTCACCCCACTAAGTTACTTCATGGAAATAAACACAGGACAAAAAAGAAAGAAAGGGTCAAAGGTGCAAACAACCCAAGTGTCCATCCAAGGGTAAATGGATGAACAAAATGTGGCGTGGACATCCAATGGGATACTATCCAGCCTTTGAAAGATGGCATTCCCAATAGATGCTACAATATGGATGAGCTTTGAAGATTCTACGCTGAGTGAAATAAACCAGACACAGGAATATGCATATTGTCCGATTCCAATTATATGAGGTCTCTGGAGTAGTCAAATTCATAGACAGAAGGTCGAATGGTGGTTACCAGGGGCTAAGAGGACAGGGGAATGGGGAGATAGTGTTTAGTGGGTACAGAGTTTCAGTTCTGCAAGATGAAAAGAGTTCTGGAGATGGATGGTGGTGATAGTTTCATAACAATGTGAATGTACTTAATGCCACTAAACTGTACACTTAAGAATGGTTAAAATAGTAAACTTTATGTTATACATATCCCACCACTATAAAATAAACATAGAAATACATTTTTAAAAGGGTTTCCAAGCAAAGAGGGTCACTCAATATTAAGATGCATTGCTCTCTGTCACTAGAAGTGGTAAGATGACAGTCTCCTCTCCCTGGGATGACCACACCTTGCCAAAAACGTGGGGCACATTCACTGCCTCTCAAAGCCTCTCCATCATTCTTAACTGCATGGCCTTGCTCCATGAATGAAGTGCCGCGGTGGCTACACACTTCACATACGCAGTTCACATCTGCAACAGATCAGGCCCTCACGTGCCAATAATGAGTGTTTTCCTTTCCAAAGCTGCAGCACTGTTTAAGCTGAAAATGTGCTACGGCAGGGCTCACAGCTGTTTCCTCTCACTCTACCCTCACACAGCAAAAGTCCCCAAAGGCTTCTGAATGGAGATATAACCTTTCATGCACAACAAGAGACCTAGCAGAGAGCTACAGCCAACAGCCAACCAACAGAAATGCTGGCCCAGAAATCAGGTTTAATCTGGGACCCTGCTCTTGGCACTGATCTCTAGAGGATGAAAATTGCTACCTTAACCCCATAGAATCAATGCCACATAGAGTCACCAAGAGGCCCTAGTTGTCTGGGAACTTGACTCGAAAGCTACTACCATTAAATGTACTTGGGGCCAGGGGCTAAGGTCTGTGGTCACGTGACATCAAACTTTCTTATTCAATAAAGGCAGAACATGCATGTTTGGAGCCTAATGGAAGAATGCATTGGGTATATTTTCTGATCCTGGATTCACCTAATTTTGAAGCCATGCCCCTATGTTCTGAGATGATAATAAAACGACGTCATCTCAAACTGTGAAACTCCCAAGTTGCAGGGTACCTCAAAAAAAGACTTTTAATGACACTTTCTGTCCGTCCTATGCTTTAACTGCTGTCCAGTGAGCACTCACCTGGTCCTGGGGGTCCATTTTGGTCATCATCCTGTCTTCCAGGAGGTTAAAGGTGAGCACTTGCAGAACATACAGCTGGTGCGCCATCTCATTGTTGATGGCCCGCTGGGCTCGGATGACATGCTAGGGAGATGGTTCACAAATGAAATTTTTTAAAAAAGAAAGAAAAGGAAACAACAAGAATTAACCCTCAAGTAGGCTCTCACAGTCTTCATTGGGAGGTACAAGGAATGGAGAAGGTAAGCGAGGGCACAGGGAATTTCAGAGCTTTCCTTTACATTTCAGAGCCCAGGAAGGTTCCTGATCTTCAGGTCAGAGTACAGGAAAAAACCTACTGTAGGCAGGCGTGAGTGGAAGGGGAAAAGCCCTGGAAAAGGACTGGTGACGGCAGCCATATAAGTCAAGAGAAGATGTGCTTGAAATGGGGGTGTCTCCAAGACAACTGTGGATTTCTCCAATGGAAGCATCTGTCACATACAGCAGAAAAACCCATGGTGCATACCCATAGGAAGCAATCTTGCCATTATCTTACCCTAGGACTGTCTGACAGGTAAGCCCACTTCAAAACAGGGAAAAGTTTCACAAAGAACACACAAAAGCAAAATACCCATCAAGTCTTAATCCACTGTGGGAGCTACATAAGGATGTCTACCATCAAAAGCAGACAGTAAAAGCTCGTGAATTACTTTACTCACTGTTAACAATTAAATGAAAGATAAAATGACTCTTCCCCATAGAAACAGAACTGAAAACAGAACATACAAGGAGTGGCAGGACAGGACGACTGGATAGGTCCACCCCCAACCCCCTCACCCCCGCCCAGAAATGGGACAGCTGCCATCAACTGAACATTCAGCATTTGGGACTAACACACAGCCTTTTCAACACAGATTCTGGCCGTACATTAAAAATACCAAACAACGGATCAATGTGGTGAAACAATCCATCACATCAGTTATTTCAAATGTTAGCCCCAGTCATGCCTTGCTATCTGGAAGACCAATTCTCTTGGGAATCTGCACTTGCTCCTGGGTAGACTGCTGCAAACCAACTTCTAAGTGGCTATTCAGTAAATGACAAAGTTCCCCATTGTAGAGAAAAATGATCTTCCTCCAGGACTAGAGGAAGTCTAGGTCCTTAGAGTGCTGCCTGGGTGCCTCTCAACCTGGCATCCACCTGCAATCCACACCCTAGCTGTTAGTGCCATGCTGAAATAGCCAATTAAAGAAGGAGGGGTGAGAGAAGATTGAGGAATAGAAGAAAGAAGCCAGGGAGAAATCAGAGAATACCAAGTCACCGAACCAAAATTATGGGAAGCAGGGAAGCTAGACAACAGGATGGTTAGGAGCAAATCAAACCCCTTATCCTCCAATCTTCAGAATAGCATGTTAACTCATAGCACACACTTAGTATCCAAAGTGTGTGGGTATCTCTTTTCTTAGCAACTCGAAAGTACTGCACTCCAAGTTCTTGCAGGAGAGTACCAACCTCGAACTTCAGCCATCAACATCTCATAAAAGAAGAGATGTTGATTTTTGAGACAGGGTGGCCACAGTCATTAATGCCACTCATTTCTCAGGGCATTCTAACCCTGAGTGCCACATCAAGGTAATATGAAGACACTGAGCTACACATTGATGCTGCAGCTTCTACATTTATTGAGAGCCAATATAAAGAAGGACAGCAATTACGAATACTTGTGCACTTCCAAAACCACAATTGGACCTAGATGTATTAAGATGCTCTCCCAAGATTCATTTCAGATTTGAGTTCCAGAGGGAAAAGTTTTATCTTTCCCAAAGAACTGGGGGACCTCTTTTTATCAAACAATGAAAATTACACTCATATGTTTCGTGTCATCCTTGATAGCCAGGAAGTTTAAAATCGAACTAACTTGGTCACAAATTGCAGTCATTACCACTGGCTTTGGGATCTAGAACATTTATTTTCAACATCAATTTTTGATGGCTTACTTGCATTGGTGGGGAAGGGAGGGGGGATAGTGTGTGTGTGTGTGTGTATAAGCCACTTGTTTTTGGTGTTTTGACATCTGGGACCTTGTTGACCCTGGAGAGACTGCCCCTCCCAGATCTAGCCAATTCCTAGAGCTAATAAATGACTCCTTTCATATGCAAATGAACCAGTTCAGAGCCTTGGCAACCACACCCTACTCCTCTACAAGCTCTGGCTCCTACTCTTAGGACCACTATTCTCCTGCCCTAACCACCCAGGGCCAGGTACCAGACAACCAGAGACAGCCCATAAACTCCACAGCCCACTGAAATTATTCAAACTAGCCAATCCCAAACCTGCTCAGCCAGCTTACCTGGCCTCACTTGTGCCTTCCCTCAAAAACCACAGTAAGGGCTCTTACCCAGATCTCCTTAGGCTTTCCCTGCCTCCCGACTCAGAAGCTTCCCCTGCCCCCACAATCCCCCAGTGGCACGGCATGCCCCCTCCTTTGGGGAACTATAATTAACAAACTTTTCTTTTCAATGCCAGCCACCTCCTGATCTGTTGGCCTCACCATACCCGAATACTGCTAAAACCTGCATTTGAGGACCAAGTGTTTTTAACTGTAAGCTTGCTGAACTGCTCTTTGGAATCACACAAAAAGAAATTCTTCTTTTTCTTTCTTTTCTTTTCCTTTTTTTTTTTTTTTCTTTTTTGTAAGCAGGGCAATCAATCAACCTGCTTCTTTCAAGTAGCTGGTAAGTCAAATAGCGGGTAAGACCTCAGGAAATCTTGTTACTTGGTTTATTTCTAAACATTTACAAGGTGACACCTTAGGGCTTTTTTTCCCACCAATGTTTAAGGTCATTTTGCATTGCAGCGAATGAGTGGCTCCCATCTTTATCTTTCCTTCCTCTCTCTTGCCAGGGGGCCCCAAAACTGATGTTCAAAATCTCAGGACTTCTCTTGGTACCTGATATGTTTACAGCTAGCTTTCTCATTAAAAGATCAAAACCTCATCAGGGTGAATCTTTTAAGCCCTGATTTCCCTAACCTGCCCCACTGAGAGAGCTATCCAATCCTTCCTGCCAGAATGCCTTCCCCCTTCCTCTCTCTCCAGGGCAGTTCCAGAAACCCCTCCCTCCGATCCAATGAGGCAATTCCTGTGGGAAAGACTTTATGTATTCCAACTCCAAAAGCTCACTTTTTCCTTCTTTAGAGTTCCTACTGCTTCACCACAGAAGCAAGTCACAGAACAAACCACAGATTGAAGCCAAAAGAAGAGATTAATACATGCACCAGGCCACTCCTCCCCCACAAAGAGGTCACAGCACATAGGTACTCACTGTTAAAATGATGGAACGCAATTGCTTCTGAGCCAAAATATTCGCCATCTCCTGTGGAAGAGAAACACGCCCACACAAAGGCTTAGGTTAGAAAGCTACATTTCGACATGGCCAAAAATGACTTTATCCTAGGGTGTGCTTCGTAACTGTATATCAGCAGTATTTCGTATGAAATAATGAACTCAAACAGGCAGCAGTATTCAAATTATTTTTTTGACTGTTCCATTTAGAATGTAAAAGCCACATCCAAAAGCAAAGGAAATATATCTGGCACCTGCAAAATTCTCTTCTTTAGGAATTTCTTCCTTCCAGAAAAAGGTGGGTGCTAAATAAAAATCAGGCACTCCAAACAAAGCAATCGTTCTCTATTAGAAAGCCTCATCATCTTTTATTAGACTACGTATGTGCAGAAAGCTTTTATTAGGCAACACATGCCTGTAGCAAGGAGATTCCAGTATCTTCTAAAAGTCATTTCATCTTAATCTGTGCAAAACCCAAGAGTGAGTAATACATATACCAGACTACATAAGTGATCTGAGTGGAGTTTAAGTGAAGGGCAAATATCTGGGTGATGCAAAGCTCTAGAGTCTACACTCACTGAGCTCTGCAAGGCCTGATTTCTACAGGTTGTGTTTCATGCCTTGGCATCTCCTGAGTGGCATGGAGGATTCAAGCGTGATTTTATTAAAGGAAATGATGCACAGACTCCTTTTATAAATATTGACAATTAGAGACTAAGGGAAAATAACATATTAAGCACAGTCTTGGAGCACACATTTTAAAGTAAAAATACTGCTCATATTCAGGAAGACACTTTGTTGTTTTGTGGTGGGGGGTGTTTTTGGTGTTGCTACTCTTACTGAGTAGAGAAGAAACTAAGCTATGGTTTAAAAACAGAACCATGATTTCTACCAAGGTGAAAACAAATTTGCAGAAAGCAAAGAGAACCAAGAACATGGGGGTCGGGGAGATTTCTGAGGGGGGCATACAAGCAGGGGTAGACAGGAGCAGCACGGGAGAGCAGGGCCCACTTTACGCTGACAAAGGGAACGTGGGTGACTTACAGTCAGAGGACAATCAAGGATGTCAACATTGCTCTCTACATCAACCTAACGGCGTCATCGCCACCACAGAAAGGAAAGCAAGCAGGAGAGAAGAAGGGATGGAAATTCAGAGGACTCTGTTAGAGGTTGACCACTTTATTTGAATGCCCCTGCTGACCCACTGCATTGAAAAGTGCTTAAATACTGTAAGGTGACAAACAAGCTAGATGGCCCTCAAGTCAAAATCTAATACTAGGTCTTCTTCCACGCTCTTGAAAACAAGAAAGCAGGAGCAATGACGCATTGAGAAACAAGTCAAATGGTAACCCAGAAGGAACCTTCCCTTCCACTAGGCATAGAAAGCAGTGCTTTCTTCCCAGTCTTCATAGAAAGGCCCACTGGTGGTGGTTTTTTTGTTTCTTCTAGGCCAGATGTCAAGTAAAAGCCTCAAAGGATCCTATAGCTGTTTTAATTTCTTTCCTTTAAAACATGAAATTATTGCTCATAAATAAAAACAGAAACAAAAATTTCTGTTCCTATGTTTGCCTATCAGTTTATAAAATTTAAAGTTAGAAGGGACAATGCATGTCCAATTTCTACTAAAGAAATCATTGTAATTATCTGTTTACAATGTTTATTGTCTACATAAGCTGTGGGTCCCTCATGAGCAGAAACTGTCTTTTTCTTTTTTGTATTCCAAGCCCAAAGAACAATGTCTAACACCTAGAAGACAATAAATGCTTGATAAAATAACAAATAAATATTTTACACTATCCTCCTAAGGAACAGCAGCTTGGTCAAAGAGAAAATAGAAATATTCATACCTCCATTTCTTAGTCTAATAGTAAGGAATTGTTGGAGTAAATGTGAGAATCCATGGGGAATATTTTATAGCATTAAAATTATGTAAAAGTATATAGATAGATACAAATATGAATCCAGATATACTGACATGGAAAGATGTCCACAAAATATTGTTTAGTTTCAAAGGCAGTTTAGAAAAACTACACTGCATGTAGTATGCTCACATTTGGTGGGAAAAAAATGATGTATTAGGAGAATTTTTGCACAGAACAAACAGGGAAGTAGCACCATGAAAGTCACAAGAGTTGTAAATAATTGCAGTGGTTTTGCCTCTGGGAATATAATTACAGGAATCTTTCACACTTCTTCCTTTTGAGTTAGTATTTTCTGATTTTTCTACCAAATCTTTTAACTAACAAGTTTTTTAAATAGTGCTTATCCAAAGTATATAAATATTTGTAGAGAAATTTGGAAGGGATCTCAGCAACGTATTTGCCATTGAAATAGTGAACTGAATAATGGTGCAAGTTGTAAACAAAAGGATGCATTGCCCACCTAACAGCAACCCCCTCCCCGACAAAACTAGCACAGCCCTTCCCTCCATTTGTGCCAGGAAACAGAGAATCTCCTACATCCCAGAGGCATGGGAAAGCAAGGCCTCCACCCCTGGGGGAACCCTAGACCCTCTGGAACCCTTCTCCAGAGGAAGAAGCTTTGCCCTAGGTCCCAGCACAGGCATCTCTCAGTAAGGCCTACTTCACGGATGCAAAGGAAAAAATAGCACAGGTCCTTCTGACCATGGGGGCATTTTTTTCAGTAACAGCAGAAATAGGGTATAAGTGTTTAAAAGCATTCCAAATTCCAAGAAAAGCCAGATAATGGAGTCCTATGAATGTGTCTGGCCCAAGTCAAAAAAAGAAGATGAAATTTTAAAAAAGTATTTGACTGAAGTAGAATCAGGCACCCCCAAAAAAGCAATGGTTCTAAGGCTTTAAACAGGTAAAACAAAACAAAACCAACAAAAACAAACAAAAAATAGTGCTCCTGCAAATCCAGTAAATACATGTTTAGATTACATTTCAATCTAATCGGAGTGAGAAAATGGGCTTGGTGTTATCCAGGCTTCGGGGAGCTGTTTACTTGGCAAACACAGGGGAATTCTGTGAGTGACATCTCTTTGACAGGCATTGGATGGGATGCTTTGCAGGTAAAAGCAGGGATAAGGTTGGGACTCAAACTCTGATTCTTACCCGCTCAGTAACCTGGTCAAGTTCTTTACTCCCTTTGAGTCTCAATTTCCTTACTTATAAAACAGAAATAATGTGGCTTTCTCTGAATATGAGAATAAAATGAAATAATGTAATACAAAATACTGAGCACTGCCTGGCACATGCCAGACTCTCAATAATATTATCATTGATGGCTGACTTTGGTCAATTTTTCTATTTGCCAAAAATTCAGAACTTTTAATTTTTCAGAACATATGCCAGCAATGCCAACGTCAAATTCAGACCAGCTGAAACTTAGAACATAGAGCCCAGACTAAGGTGTACACGCTCAGCTGTTAATATAAATCCACAGCAACCTACGTGATATTACCAGTTAGCTCAGTCTTCTGCTTTACAGGCCTCTACTGACCTTCAGAAAATAACATCCAACAAACTTTTCTTCATTATGAACCTGAAATCTCTTTTTAGAGCTATCTCGCTACTTACTGAATTTTTTTTAAATTTAAAAATCATGATACTCCCTTTACTTTGATTAATAACACTCTTAATTTCAAGAGTTTATAGTTTATGAAGTCCACATCACCTTTCCATGGGCAAGTCAATTAAATACGTTGTAGCTATTTTTAGAGCTTGATTGAGTCATATAATACTTCATAAATTTCTGCTGAATTATATACAGTCTTTCTTAGTTGGAATCTTTTCTTAAATGGTTTAAGGTTATTAGACTACACTTTGAGGTGGTTTATTACTCTTTGCGGTAGTTTATTAGAATAATATATAGCTAAACTGTTTCCTGTCAGTCTTATGTTGCATAGTTTTCAAAGAAAGACTTGGTTCACAAAATCCAAACCTAATCTTATGTCGACATTCCATTATATTACCATTATCAGCAATGTCCTGAAATTCCCTATTTGTCCATGGTCATGAGAGTCCAATTTAACAAGTGAACAGTAGTGCTTGGTATAAAATAAGATACAGTATGCATTTTATTCATGTCTAGATTCAGAGATCCAAGTGAAATGGCCTTTTGAGTGGGCATGAACTTTCACCTCTTCTAATCCACCTTCTTCTTTCACAGACGGAGAAAGGAAAGGAAACTTCCAAGAGTTGAGATCAGAATGCAGCCTTCCTGACCCCACACGCTACACTCAGCTACCATGTGGCTGGGCCAGAAGTCCCTGGTCTGGCCAGCAGAAGGACCCAGTTCCTCCAATGCCCACGTCAAGCTTGTGGATATACACAGTGAGAGCTTCCAGACAACTTCCGGGCTGCTTGGGAGTTACCATGAGTTTGGTATTTAGACTAAAATATCACAGAAGCAGCCCTATCCATGATTTCACCTCAGATCTGCAAAGCCCCTCCTAAAAATCCAGCCAGGGCAAGCGCGCCCCCACCACAGACTTGTGGAGGGCAGGCACCTCCACCTAGTTCCAGTGAACACCAAACCAAACATCCGGGAAACTATTAAGTGACACCACTCCTTGTGCAAACACAGCCCCCCTGGGGATGAGTAAGAAATTCTAAATGGAAAACAAACCAGAAGCCATCATGTTTAGTCACTGAGGTTTAAAATCCTTGGCAATGAAAAAGTAACATAAAATCCAAAAATTCTTGTCATGGCATTCAGTAGCAGGTTCGCTTTCTAATTTCTTCTAAATGAACTCACTGGCAACTGCCATCAAGACCCTCAGCATAGTTTCTAAGTGGGTGAAAAGAGCTCATATTTCCACCTATTTTTTTTTAAGGAAGGAAACAGTGACCAGGGTAACATATTACAGGACACATTGATTGAAAAAACATGAATGGATTTTGAGGTGTGAGCTACATTCTAAGACAAGGCAAAATTCCACTTTTTCACATCCCCTCTGTAACGCTCCTTTCCTTCGTGAAGAAATAAAGGATCTACAGACAAAGGACACCATCAAATGAGAGGTTCCATCTATGTACATTAAGGGGTTCCTTCCTCTTTTTTTTTAAAAAAAGATAGTCTCGCTGTGTCGCGCAAGCTGGAGTGCAGTAGTGTGATGTCAGCTCACTGCAACCTCTGCCTCCCGGGTTCAAGTGATTCTCCTGCCTCAGCCCACCGAGTAGCTGGGATTACCAGTGTGTACTATCACGGCTGTAAAACAGGCCGGCTAACTTTTGTATATTTAGTAGAGATGGGGTTTTGCCATATTGACAAAACTAGTCTCAGCTTCCTGACCTCAAATATCTGCCTACCTTGGCTTTCCAAAGGGCTGGGACTACAGGTGTGAGCCACTGTGCCTGGTTTTTTTTTTATACAGAGGAAAGAGATGGCTCCATTTTCCCTGCCACATCCACACACAGAAATAAGTAATCTTACCAAGCAAGGAGCCCCTCTGACATGTGAATGCAGTTATATCCACCAGGAGCAGCCATCTGCATATTATCCCTCCTGTTCTCTCACCTTCCATTGCCTCCCTCCGTGGGAAAAACGTGGCGCCTCTCAGGGTCTCCCTTTCCTGATCCAGAAAACGAGGACTGCACTTCCCTCACCCTAGTGAGCATCCCATGAAACGACAGAAGGTCGCGGGGACTCCTAACTCCGCTTCCACCCAGCAGCAACGTTTTCACCTTTGTACATCTGGTCTTCCAGGTTGCATTTTATTTCATGAAAAGGCTCTATTTCTGGAACACTCCTAGCATCCCTCATCAGTCAAGGGCTTACCGTCTCTACCCACTTGCCCCTGGATTTGGGAAGGACCCCAGCGGGCCAGCTGTGCAGCAGAACATAGCTGCTGTGGAGAGTCCATATGTGGCCAGGACAGCAGAGTGGCCCAATGAGTCCCCGGATGGAAGGAGAGGGTGTTCTCTGCACACAAAGTTCCTAGCCCTGACATAGCCGTTAGACTAAAGAAATGCAACTTACCTGCCTCCTGTCATCAGGAGCCTTCAGGAAAAGTGCATTAATCACTGCAATAGTATAGGTTTGGATTTCTTGATCTGACCTGTAAAGATACAGAACAATTCAGAAAATCAGAACACAAAGTTAGAAGAGACTAGCCCTGGGTCAAATCCTGAAAAGCCTCAAAATCAGCCTCCTCTCCCAAAAACAAGTGAGAGACAAAGGTAGGGCCTAGCAAATGCATTTAGCACTGAGAATGCATTTCAAACATCACAAGGCGGTAAATATACAACTAGTATTACCAGCTCACAGTACACTGGTCAGTGCAGAACGCCCAGAAATACAGGCAGCCTTCTCTCTTATTCAGATTGAAAGCATAAACCTAGGGGATGTTGTAATTGATGTACTACTAGTAATAGTTGTTTGTATGTATGTATGTATGTATATATGTGTGTACATATGTGTAATTTTCTGTCTGATACAAGAAATATATCAGGGAGTAGTTTCAGATGTCTCTACATTCTTGGGCTAACTGGGTGGCTCTATTACATATTCTAAAATTCTATTTCCAAATATAAACATTTAAATAACAAAAAGAATGGGTGTTTGTTTATAAATCTCATTTTCACTGGAAAGCAACCAGAAATAATAAATGAAACAAAGCTCTAATGTAAGGCATGTGGTAAACAGTAAATAAGGAAGACTCAAGGCATAAACAAAGAGTGACTTATGAGCTACATTTAGGAATAACTTATCAGGCCAGCGAGACAGAAGTGGAGCTTAGAACCAGGCCAGGATAGGGTGCAAAGCCCAGTTCATCACAGGCTGGCTAAGACCTTGGACAAGTTCATGAGTATCCCCCAAGGCACAGTTACCTCATCTACAACGTGGGGTTAGACACACTTATTTCATGGGATTGCTGTGAAGATAAAATGAGATTATGCATATAAAATCCTTAGCACAGTACTTGGAGAATAATAAACTCTTCACTTTGGTAATGTGCTTTGGGATGAAGATGTGTGCCTTTGAGATTCCCAGAAAAGACACAGTATATAAATTAATACAGTTCACACTCAAAGGAAATGTGAAACTGGTCTTATTTCTAGAGAAGCTACCTACATTCTCATCATTTTGAAGAATTATGATTCTGAGGTCACAATCACTGAGGCCACCACAATCCTCAGCTTCTGTGACTTAAATTTTAAATGCTGATCATTCTCCCACCTCCAAATGAAAAAAAAAATCTAATATAATCTACTTTGGTAGTTTATATTATAAACACAACAGTTAACATTTCAGAGAACCATTCCCACCCTGCACCACCAACCCAAATGGGCCAATCGGGTTTCCTCTTGAGAATTGCGACCTACTGGACCAGGGGCAAGAGTTAGTGGGAGTTGGGTCATTGTAGTGCCAACCACAATTCTAGAGAAAAGGCCATCTGCTGAGGGCTCCAGGGAAGCTATGGTTTCTCTCCTCCTCAAGGCTTAGCTACTTATGTCATTTCTGGATTCTACAAGGTACCCCAGTATTGTTCCAATAACCTCCTTTCCTGTGTGAGCGAGCTCAAAATGTTTATTATCACTGCAACCCAAAATAATTTCTAAAGTAGCACTGTACAATAGAGTCCTCCTCAGGTTGGTATCATCAGAGACAACCTTCCTAGTTACCTAAGGGAGGAAAGAAGGGGAAAAATGCCTCAAAGACTGCAGGCTGCAGAGGCAGCTATCTTACTTCCATTTTATAGCTCAAGCCACTAGAAAAAAAAAAAAAAAAAAAAAAAAAAAAAAAAAAAAAAAACCTTTATTGTATTATAAAATACAAAAGAAGCAACTCACTAGAATCACCTTGAGCACAACTAAGAAAGAAGCCTGCCTTTAAAAATTCCTAGCAAAAAGGCATAACATTACATTTCTAATTAACAATGAAAATACTCATTATATCACAGAAAACATTAACTTAGATGGTTTAGGAAAGAGAACTTAAGAGAAGAAATCATCCTGTTTTACCTTCTTAAAAGTAAAACTCTGGCAATATCTACCAATATGCATTAAAACTGAGAGCTTACCAAGGGCCAGGTGTGGGGACAGGCAGTGCCAAGAACCAGTCTGGAGTTCAGTGAGGGACAGGGGCCAAGGGAAAGTAACCATGCCATTCCAGTGTGACACATGGTTTGGTTATATGCCAAATTGAGATTTTTTTCTATACATTTAACCAAACTATAAAAACACACAATGTTTCCCAGTGCATCACCGTGGCCATCTTCCTGAAGCATTTCTCCTCCCCAGAGCATCTCAGCATGCTTACCCTGTCAGGTGTGGAATGAGCTGGCCAATGGTGATCTCCTGTGCCACTTTCTGGTAGAGGTCATGGCTATTGAGCACCATCGACTCCAAAATGGCCAAGGACCGCTGCAGGATCGAGATGTCTATGGCTGACTTGTTCACAAAACTTGCTATCTGAAAATCCAAGTGGGACACAATTAACTGCTCGTGGTAAGTAGAGCAGAGACGTGGAGAAGGGAACAAATGAAGCAAATCGGGAACTCATTTAAGAAACACCAGGCACTGAGGATGACCTGGAATTACAGCAAATAGCAAGAAACCCATCGATCCAGGGATTATTCATGATATCATCACAAAGCATGATTTATCACATCTCTATAATTCACTGATAAGCAAATTTTTTCAAAAAGACATACTTCCAAAGATTATTCTTTCTGTATTTCCCAGGACTATTCTCCTGAGTTTCATCTTTTAGGGGCAGACAATTTCAACACATATATTGTAAGGATGCCTGTGTTTCTCTGGGACGGTAATTTCAACATATGATAATTGCCATTCCTCTTGCATTCCCAGGCTACTCCCTCATCCACACAATCCATGGCTTTTATATGCTTACTATGTTCTTGTTGCATTCTTAGGGGACTCGCACAAATCTCACTTGTCAACACAATTCAACTGGCAACTTCTCAGTCACTGGCCACCCTCTTAAATGAAAAACTCGTTACCCCTTTCTTCCAATTTCTGATGGTTAAAATAAGTTCTTTTCATCTCTCCTAAATTTAGCAAACAGGAAATCATTTAAATGAGCAGTACCAAAAGTTAAAATACTAGTTTAAGCTCCAAATTAGATTCTCTAAGGAATTAATCACTAAATCCCCAAACATAATAAATCACATTGTAAGAGGAAAATAAAAAATAGAGGTTAGAGTAATGGATCACAGTAATCCAAACACATGGGTATCATAAAGGTCTTATTTTAGAGGCCTCATTAAAAGTTATTACTGTCTGTTGACAACTCACAATAAAAAGCCATTATTATATCAGTATAATGACGGCTTTCTTAAAAGCTAAATAACTTGGTTCCACAAGAAGTAAACACTTGCTGTTTCCCCGTCAACACTAATTTCTCCCTTTTTGCTGCCCCAGAGACCACTCGCCTCATCTCCTCTCCATCCTTGCACATGATAAATGCACAGTGCACCATGGCAATTCCCAGGTACCATCGGAATTGTCCCTAGTCCGCTGATGTCCAGGTGAAAGGAGGGGTGGGATATGCAGATCGCAACACTCTGCCCACCCCAGCTACATCTGGATCTCAGAGGTGGGAAATGAATAATGTGAAGAAGTGCGGTGACATTATGATTTTACATTCTGAAAAGCTCTTATTTTAAAATACAAACTTCAGGAAGAGTATGGAAATTTTAAGGTTCTCAAAAGACTGCTTCAGCTCTTTTCATGGCTAATAAACTTCTCCAACATGTTTACTATCCTTGGCAAGCCCTTGACTTACTCCTCACAGTCTGCTCCAATCCACCAAATCTACCATACTAAGGCCACCCTTCTTTCCCTAGGGCCATCTTTCTCTGACAAAAATCCAATTACTATTACACTGTGTTTAGGGTTTAATGCTTAATTTAGACATCTTCTAAACAGAGAATAAATTCTCTGACTCCTCCCTTACCCCACCAAACCATTTTTCATGCTCTCGGCATAATTCTTGGCACTGGTATTAGGAAACTGAAGAACTCATAAAGAAATTCATTGACAATACTTCAGATTTTCTTGCAACTAATTTTCTCCTCATTCCCGGCTCCCCTGCTTGTCTCTATTTATTAAATTTGGATGTGCCTTAAGGCTGCATGGAGGCTTCTGCCTGAGAAGCTGTTGCTGATATTGTCAAGCACCCTCCACCTCCATCTTCATGCACTCTTTTCATTCAGCCAATATTTACTCATCAATAATTGATCCATTTCAGTAACATGCATTGCTTGTGTGCTATACAATAGGCTTGCCCTGTCCCACAGAGCTGGAAATACAAAGATGAAAAGAACAAACAAATTTCAAGGACCTTACAGTCTACTATGGACAGATAAAAAGGCATTTACCATGAAGTACACTGAGGACCTATTCTTGGCATCCAAAAGGATGCCACCATTTGGATATTTCAAAAAAGCAAAAAATTAAATGGAGGGAATATCAATCTCATTGTCTTTGTACTCCTCTCTTCCCAATTATCACTCTTTTCTAAGAATCCATAATCATTAGTGATTCATATTTCCAGCTCCCTATTTTACATCTCTGGGATACATCTGACATGTCTCCGTTTTGATACATAGTATATACATAACACTGGCCCAGTGGTCTAACTCATTGCTGGGTTACTAAAACACAGTCTTCTGCATGTTCTTTTATGTTCAAGTTTTCCATCAAATGGAAATTTACCCCCTGAATTATTCCCCTACTTCCATAAATATCCTTTTTACAGTATTTCCTTTCTTGAAATATTCAATCAGAACTCTCCGTGTTTTCTTTTTATTTATTTATTTATTTATTTATTTAGTTAGTTAGTTAGTTAGTTATTTGAGATGGAATCTTGCTCTGTTGCCCAGGCTGGAGTGCAGTGGTGTGATCTCAGTTCACTGCAACCTCCACCTCTCCAGTTCAAGCAATTCTCCCGCCTCAGCCTCTTGAGTAGCTGGGATTACAGGTATGCACCACCACACCAAGTTAATTTTTGTATTTTTAGTAGAGACGGCGTTTCACCAGATTGGCCAGGCTGATCTCAAACTCCTGACCTCAAGTGATCCACCTGCCTCGGCCTCCCAAAGTGCTGGGATTACAGGTGTGAGCCACGGCACCCAGCCTACTCTCAAGTGTTTTCTGATAGGAAGTACACCTTCTCATAATGGGTTTTAAAGTTCTCTATGAGTCATTAACTCTTCCCTGCTCCCAGTGGGCTTGCTCAATGGTGGCAAAAATAATCTGCTGTCTTTGCTTTAATTTAGGCATATTTATATCCCACATACATATTCCATTTCCATTAGTTATTTCTACATATTTTTCTCCTAAGAAATGAATCCCTTACTTTCATGAAAGTATTCTTTAAAATTCATTTTTCTAGTAATTCATTTCTTCCTTGACATAAAGAACCTAACCATTTCAGCAATCCTAAAGCATGTTACGTAATGAGCATTTTGTGTAACACACCTGGGGCACTCAATGCATTAGAGTCCTATGTACAAGTCTGAAGTACATGCTAATAGTTTTCTGAAACTTAACTTCTTTCTTTTGTCTTATTTGTCACTGGTTTTAGCTAGGTATTCAAATGACCTAATATTTTAACTGAATGAGTATTAATAACCAAGGCATCAGAGCTGATCCAAGTAAAAGTAATAACTATCGTCCTCCAGGGAACTTGAGACCAACTCCTTATAACTGAATGTATAAATCAGTTAATGGACAAATGTCTGTATGTCCAGTTTGAAAACTACAGATCTTCGTATAGCTAGAGGTTATTCATGTCTATTTAAATTTTCATTTCCTTTATCCCACAGAAGAGTAATAATGATTCCCTCTGCCTTTCAATTTATCCCAACTCCATCACTGCACTTCTGGGTGACACAAGTGAGCCAACCCAAGCCAGCCACAGTCCAGCTTCTCAAAAGTAGGCCCGTATCATAAGGAAGTAGTAAGTAAGAGGAGTCAGCAGTAATTTTATATACACTAGAGCTCCTTGTACTGCTCATTCATTTGAAAACCTTAGTTAAATGAAAGAGAAATATTTATGTAACTTTTAAGAAGCTAAGGGGTATTACAGTGCATGAATCAACAATCCAATAAATACTTCTTAGAATCACTTAGAATGACATCTTAAAATTCTCCTGTTATCAAAAACTAAAAGAACCACGGAAGGCCGACACAGTGGCTCACGCCTGTAATCCCAGCACTTTGGGAGGCTGAGGCGGGTAGATCACGAGGTCAGAGGATCGACACCATCCTGGCTAACATGATGAAACCCCGTTTCTACTAAAAATACAAAAAAAAAAGCCAAGCATGGTAGTGGGCGCCTGTAGTCCCAGCTACTCGGGAGGCTGAGGCAGGAAAATGGCGTGAACCCAGGAGGTAGAGGTTGCAGTGAGCCGAGATCGTGTCACTGCACTCCAGCCTGGGTGACAGAGTGAGACTCTGTCTCAAAAGCAAAACCAAAAAAAACAACCATGGGGAACATGAAGCTCCACTCCTGTATTTAAAATTATCTAGGTAGAGGCCTGTAAATCTCTCAAATTTTTAAGAGGCAAAAATTACCAGGTCTTTAAACCAATATGGTGGGATGTTTGTCCAGATGCTGAAAACATTTGTGGGGTGAGCCAGGTTCTCCTGCACAGCTAAGGTTTTCTGGAGCATTTATGTGAAACCTTCCTTCCAAAAGAAGGCACTGATATTATAATTGGCTAGGGAAAAACCAACTCATAACATACAAAGTTTTTTTTTCTTTTCTTTCTACTCCGTGTTTTCATACTTTGTCCCTAAGTAGCAGAGTCTTTAAAAAGCAACAACATTATATATTGGTATCAAGGAATTCCAAGTTTCAGAGTTGTTTATGAAATGATGCTATTTACTGCAGCCAAAATTTGTAAACCAGAATCTAGATTCACATATAACAAAACAGATAAAGTAATAGAGAAGGAGACAGAAGCTGGCAGGGAAAAAAAATATTTCTCCAAAGTGGTATGAATTTGGCATTAATAGGAAGCCAACTCTAGACCACAGAGATAGGCATCTTTTGTCAGCCCATTTCCTAGTCGATTTTTGTTGAGATAAAGCTCCATTTAAAAGACAGTTGCCTGCATACAATTCCTGGGTTGTCAAAGTGCTGAATTTGGTCCAGCTAATGAATAAAAAAGTTAACCTTACAGAAAAGTAAGTAATTTTTTGATGACTATTTTTCAGAATCATGTAACACATCTCTAAGTAGCAATGCAAAGAAAATATGACTGGGAATGAGGACACGAAATAGATTAAATGTGTTGCTTTTTAAAAATACTTACTTTTTTATTTAAACCACCGAGACTGTCAGTCTTTACTTTCTTACATTTAATATGATTTTTGAATTAATTTCAATGAATGAAAAATATTTTCTTAAGTTGTGAGAAAACTAAATGACTGTCATTCTGTCTGGCCACTGCTCACAAGAAACACAGTTTTCTAATTCCTTTCCACTCATAACCGAAATTTTACTTAAAATATATTTAAATATGGTACCACTTTTTTCCCTTCTCTTCTTCAAATTCTGTGGGTATTTTTAATGCTTCCAAGCAAATTTTATTCATTCATTTCACAGAAATGTATTAAGACCTTACTCTGTGCCAGGCCCCGAGGATAAAGTCATGAAGAAAGCCATGTTTCTGCCTTCCCGAGGTAATACTCTATTGGGAAAGACTGTCAAACGAACAAAAAATGCACCGAAATGTGACAAGTGCTGGAACAGGGGCATTCAGGAGATCCCAGGGGAATAGAGAGCAGAAGAAATCACTTAACTCTAGCAGTAAGGTCATGGAGGAATATGTAAGAGACAGGCTGGTTAAGCGAGGCTCCAGGAATTATGCCTTCTACCACTTGGAAAGCACAGGTGCATGATGATGAGGAGAAGCGCTCTGACCATGTGACCAAGGACGCCCACTCACTATGTGACCTCATTCAACCTCGGCAAGCCACTGCATCCCTGCCTCCTAACCAGAAATAACAAGACTATCTGTTCTGTTCTGGAAAGGATTGCTGTGTGGAATCAAAAGAGCTAATGTTGGTGAAAGCACAACATAATTTCAAGGAATTCACATTCAGTACAACATTGTTGTTACATTCTATAGCAAAAGAGGCTCTCATAACAGACAAGCCAGGCACTCTGGAGGTAGAAAAGAAAGCCTGCTGTAAATTCAAAATGTTAAAATGTTTGTTAAGTATTAAAAAATCAATGATACTTCTACATCTTCAGATTTGGAACTGCTTCTCTAGAACTGATCTTAGAGAGGCAAAAATAGTGCAATTTATTTTCTCCTCTCATAATCTAATGCTTACGTTCCCTGCCACCACCAAAGGTGGCAGGAAGGTACTTCATAACACATCGGGATTTCTTTGGCTTCTTTAGCTATTAGGTTAGTGCAAAGGTAATTGCGGCTTTTGCATTACTCTTAATGGCAATTCTAACAGTTCCTTTCCTTTATAGCAATTCATACCACTGACAAATACAGGCAAAAAGGGGCCTCTTCCTTTTCTGTGCATTTTCTACAGGGTTCCTTTTGCTCATCCCCTTTGGCTTTATGGATTTACATAACGAAAGAGAGTTGATTCCGAGATGTGTCAACAAGGCCCTGGGTTTCCATCAGCTCTGGTCTTAAATGAACATAAAACATAGTGTAGGCATGACATCTGTGGACCCTCTGATCCTACCCCCCTCATTCAACAGATTAGGGCCATCCCATGTCCTTTGATTCAAGGCAGCATCTCCCCTAAGATAATGATTAATTTCCAAAAAAAAAAGCAGCACATTTACAGTGGGGAGATCCAGCAGATGTCACCTAACCATGTAATCCAGGGTAACATCACCAGTCAGAGGACAGTGACATCATGTGCCCATGAAAGGACGCATTGAGAAGGATGCACCATAACTTCTGTAGCATTCTTGCCAAAAATGCATAACCCTCTTTAATTGAACCATGAGGGAAATATCAGACAAACCCAAATTGAGGAACTTTCTACAAAATAACTGACTGGTACCTTTCAAAAATGTCAAAGCCATAAATGACAAACAAAAAAGCTGAGGGACCGTCACAGACTTGGGGAAACTAAAGAGGCATGACAACCCAATTCAATGTGGGATCTTGGATCAGATCCTTAACCAGAGAAAGGCATTCATAGAAAAACAGGTGAAATCAAATGCCAGCATTGCACTACAGCTTATTTATTAATTTTGACAACCGTACTGTCATTATGCAAAATGTTAACTTTAGGGGAGGCTGGATGAAGGGCTTATAGGAACATTCTGTACTAATTTTTTTTTTCTTTTTGAGACAGGGTCTCACTCTGTCACCCAGACTGGAGTGCGGTGGTACAATGTTGGCTCACTGCAACCTCTGCCTCCCAGGCTCAAGTGATTCTCCTACCTCAGCCTCCTGAGTAGCTGGGATTACAGTGCCACCATGCCTGGCTAATTTTTGTAGTTTTCATAGAAACGAGGTTTCACCATGTTGGCCAGGCTGGTCTTGAACTCCTGACCTCAAATGATCCACCTGTGTTGGCCTCCCAAAGTCCAATTTATTGCAACTTTTCTTTAAGTCTACCATTAGTTTAAAATAAAAGGCTTAAAAACTTCAAGTGACTCTTACCGGATTTTGCTCTGATTTTCTGGCTTGCACAGATTCACTGAAATTCTCTTTCTAGTAACTGATACTTATGAAATAAAGTTATGAATTCCAAACATCTCTTTATTACTAATACAACAGTAGGGAGGAGATATGCCAATGAATTTATAAACCATTTTGCAAATACAAAGAAAGGAAAAAAATAAATCAATAAATGATAATTGTCCATGATTTAATCTACATTTGAGAGTAACAAGATCAAGACTGTTTATTTTTAGTCAGAAGAATGGAAACAGAGTTGCAAATGTGCTATACTTCAATTGCAAGGAATGGTGGGGCTCTTCTGCACCCTCTCCCTGCACCAGGTCCATCTTCATTTGCTTCCTCCAAAAGGAAGAATTGGCAGAACTGGGTGATGTCTGAGATATTCATTGCACCATGATTACAAGTAAACAGACTCATTCTGCTTAAGACACATGGATTCAGGTAGCCCTCCTTTTCATACATCCTTGCTTCAAACCTAGGTGTGCAGATCATTGGTATACTTTGCCCCTTTCCTTTTCCCTGGACAGCAGGCTGGGGATAAAAGGCTCAAGAAGGACAATAGTAGGAACTCTGTTTAGAACTTGAAACCAACAGAGTCACACACGGGGAATCAACAGACACTTGTGCAGTTATTAACAGTGTGACACACTGATTTGGCCTGAGCTATTGCTGTGTACATGCAATCCCTTATAATCTCTTACAATCATTTTTATATAGAATTTGGGTTTCCTGACACCCACATACATAATATTATAAAAAAAATCATACCCATTTTCATATATAAAAGAACTAAACGAAAGACATTTATGAAATATCCTCACAGCAGAGAAAAATAGCTATGAAAGAAGACAGCAAGGAAAGCCTAAAGAGGCAGAGTCCGCCTTACCTTCTTAATGAATGCCACCGAAAATGTATCCCAGGACACTATGCCATGGTCCATCAGCTCAACGAAGGCCGTCAGGGTGAAGGACAGCATGTCTCCAAAGCTGAAAAAGACAGGGAGGCACAAGAGTCAAGAACCCCAAAGGTGAGCAAAGACACTGAAGCAAGAAAGTTCTGGGGAAGTGAATACAAGCAGAATTTTAAAAGATCAAGAGATAAACAGCAGGACCACAGGTGACTTTCTCACTAACATGGGTGACAAGAAGGGGCAGGATGGCCTTGCTGAGGTCAACCAGGGCTTCAGCATCCAACAGACCTGGGCTCACACCAACTCTTGCTCTGGTGAGCTATGTTGTTCTGGGCAATTCACTGACCCTGTCTGAGCCTCTATTTCTTCAGCTGAAAAACTGGGTGGTGATATCTATTTAGCCACAGAGCTACTTACTTAAAGCATGTAGCATATAGATACTTAGTAAATGATGACTTAAAGAAAAGCTTCTTGGCTAATGAAATTTGGAGTCGCTTAGGGAGGGCAATGTGCTTCCTTTATTACCCAAACACATCAAAAGAGAAAATTAAAAATACTTCTATTAAGAGAATTAGTACTTTTTTTTTTTAAAGTGGTCTATACATCCCTGTGTGGACTCACAGACACAAACATATATGCAAGTAAACATACTCATTTTGATGTTGGCCAGCATTTCGTCTTTAGTTAATAACTTTTCTGGCATATCGATGGAGATAATCACTCCACATAATGGGTTTGCTGACAAAGACTTGCTGAGATTCAGCAGGCCATAAGGTGGGCCTAATATGTGATTTGAAAATCCAAACAGAGATTAGGCTCAGACAAATGCAGTTCCACCTAGGACCCTTATTAGACAATACCCTGGTTTCTAGAGCTTTCAAAACAACACTTTAGTAGAGACTTAGATGCACAGAATCTTTTACAGATATTCACCTTTATTGTAAATTATCATCTTCATAAATATTAACACCTTTATGATAAATACTCTTTCTTTGAGTACAATGAATTATGCCAATCAAGATCTGCACAATGTATTACACAACAGCACTGACTCCTAGGCTCAATTTTTTAAAAAATAAAGTTGGTTATATAGATTTTTCATTTGTAGACTCATGCATACCATTATCGATACCCTACAAAGTCTCCTAACATATTTAGAGTGAACCTTCCCACTTATTTCCAACTAGTAGAATAGAAAACAGGTAGCATTTCTTTCGAAACAGCTTCTCAATTTCCCTTCTTCCTACTGTTCTATTCGGCCCAGCCTCAAAAACAACCTTTGAAATTCTGCACCACCACAGAAGATGTCATGCTAAACGGAACCTATAAAAGGGGAAGTGGTTCTCAGGGAAAGACAAAGATCCAAAGCTGCCGGAGACCAGGGAAAACAGAGGGGATGCAACCAGCTAAACGAAAACGGCTAAGCAGGTAGTTTCTGGAGTCAGACAACAGGGGTTCTCCCTCCAGCCCTAAGTAGGCAAGTTACGCACCATCCCATGCTTCTGTTTCCTCATTTATTAAAAATGGGGATGATGATGGCAGTGGTAGTCACACCTAGCTCACAGATTTTTGGAGAAATGAAAACAAGCAAACATGCTTAAAGGCCTCCAAATGCTGTGCAGTGAATAGTAAGTAGCGTGTGTTACTACATTCTCACCATGCAAAAGTGAAATTTTTAAAAGGTAAATGAAGCACAAGATTTTCAAATATTTCACCTTGTGTTAAGGATTCTCTGTTCTTAGAACTAGAAAATGAAAGCAAAAACAGCAATGCAAGGAAAGCCAAACCATTCAGACCAGATGGAAAAGCAGCTAATACCTCTGGCTTTTCAGAGCTGCACGGGGCAACCTCGATCTTACAGGTGCCCCCTAGGTGGCATCAAAGGATCATGCCTCAAAAAGAAATTCCAAACCAGACAACACAAACTTATTTGAAGAACAGAACAGAACATTACAAAGACAGGTGGAATACTGAGCTGAAGAGAGTAGTGAGAAAGGTTAAATAAAAATTCCAGAATGACTCTTTCTACAGACAATGGGTCACATGAAAATCCAAATATACGACTGCAAAAGGAAAAAAAAAAAAACACAGAAAAGAAAGTAAAAAGATTGCCTCAGGAAAATAAGAGCCAGGAAATAAAAGCAATTAGTAAGATTTATTAACAGACTGGGTAGGCATTAGTATTACTGTGAAAACATTATTACATAGTAACATATAGCATTAGCAGTAAGCAACATTAGCTCATTTATTTTATTTACTTAAAAAGAAGAAAAACAAGAACCAAATGATAACTAATAGTGGACATCTGGTCATACCCAGCATACTAAAAGACCTCAAATGTTAAAAAAAAAAAAAAATCCCCTATACACGCCACGGGAGGACAGCATTCACAGCATCTCTACAAGGCAAAAAACCTGCCTCAGTGACATCAACAGCAGCACAGGCAATGGAACAGGCAGTGGCAGAGAAACACACACACTATTGAATCAAACTCTTGGCCTGGTGCCGTGGCTCATGCCTGTAATCCCAGCACTCTGGGAGGCTGAGGTGGGCGGATCACCTGAGGTCAGGAGTTCGAGAGCAGCCTGGCCAACATGGTGAAACCCTGTCTCCGCTAAAAATACAAAAATTAGCCGGTCATGGTGGCAGGCACCTGTAGTCCCAGCTACTCTTCTTGGAAGGCTGAACCCAGGAGGTGGAGGCTGCAATGAGCCAAGATCATGCCATTGCACTCCAGCCTGGGCAACAGAGTGACTCTGTCTCGAAGAAAAAAGAACACTAACAACAACAAAAGAAAACCTCTTCTCTGCACCCCCATTAGCTAGATAGCACTCAGATAAGATGAGGAAACTAGATGACATTAGTCTTTAGTAGATCCTTTAAAAGCAAAAGATAAAGTATATTTATGTCCTCTAATATATGAAAGCAACATGACTCTGCTCCCTAGCTACCTGCTCAACAGAACCCTAATCCAAATGATCTTAGTAACATCTGGTACAGTCAATCGTTCCAAAAATACACTCCAGAGTTGTCTACAGACTCCTCAGACAGAACAGACTGCAAGGACTTTGGGGAAAAAAGGCTGAAGAGAAGGAAAAAGGGTATCATTTGGTTTCCACATCCGCACGCTTGTTTGGGAGTCAAGATTTCAATCTCTATGGCTGTTAAGAAGGTGGAGCACCATTTCTGAGACTGCAAATAGAGCTATCTGTGCTTCTAAAGTATCCATTAGTGGGAATGATTGGTAAGTGAGAGTAAAGCTTTTTCACAGCATACACCAGTCAAGGTACTCAGAGGAAGGTCTCCTGGTCTATCTAATGACATGACAGATAGGGAGAGACAGATAGGAATATATAATAGGACCTATTTTACATATTACTAGTATCTAATATTTATGTAAAATACACATAGGTATATAATATATACATATTACATAATATTCTGTATTACATACATATTCTGTATATAACATATATAATTCATTAGGACTGGTTGCTGGGTGACATAGTAAGTTCCCATACGAAATAACTTTTTCCAAATTCAACTTCAAACTCTCAGTCGCAAAGAAATGATGGCCATGCTAAAATTTTATTACATTCCAAATCAAGGGATTCAATCACCTCTTTCAAGTGAGGTGGCTATAAAAGCTCTTACTGAACCTTGACATAGGTGTTTATTTCCACTCCTAGAGGAGTAACTCAGGCTCCAAACAGGGAAAGCAGAGGGCAAGTTCTGCCTCTGAAATCAGTGCTGGGTACAGAGAGTCAAGGCTAAAAGAATTACAGATAAAAAGCAATCACATGGCATATCCGGGAACATTTTTATTTGTTTGGATTATTTGTATTTTGTAAGTGTTAGGCTAAAGATTGTGCAGTACTGACAGCCACAAATTAAGTCAACTGCAAATTTTACATGCTGGTGGAAAGCCACTGTCACAGCCAACACACCATGTGTGCTGGAATGATTCAAATAAATGTTTCTCATCAACTTAGTAGACACCATCTTCATTCCAACAAAATTCAGCCAATCTCAGAACAAGCATGTAAATTTCTGCTACTAATTTTATAAAAGAATAGTGCTTCCAAATGTTTCCATAGAGTGGTAAGCCCAATAGAATTTATTTTTATTTTTATTTATTTAGTTTTTTTGAGACACAGTCTTACTCTTCTGCCCAGGCTGGAGTGCAATAGTGCGATCTCAGCTCTTTGCAACCTCCACCTCCCAGATTGAAGCGATTCTCCTGCCTCAGCCTCCCAAGTAGCTGGGATTACAGGTGCACACCACCACACCCAGCTAATTTTTGTATTTTTAGTAGAGATGGAGTTTCGCCATGTTGTCCAGGCTAGTCTCAAACTCCTAACCTCAAGTGATCTACCCGCCTCAGCCTCCCAAAGTGCTGGGATTACAGGCATGGGCCACCAAGCCCGGCCCCAATATAGAATTTGAAAAAAGATGAAAATAAGGGTCACTTTTAAAGCTATAACAAATTGTACTCAATAGATCATTAACTGTCGAGGTTAATGGCCATAGTTCTGCCCTGCCCTCTGAGGTTTTCCATCTGTTTTCCTCCTTGAGGAAGTAAAATGTATACACATTTAAAAGTATAGATTTATAAGTCATCCTTTAGAAAGCATGACTTACCTTCAGAAAGCATGACTTATGTCAGCAAACATTCTTCTAGCTCCTTTGTTAAAAATTTCAGTGCAGGTTGATTATGGACTCTATTCTACTACATTGATCTGTTTACCCCCTTATACCAGTATCAGACCATCTTGATAGCTAACCTTATAGTAAGTATTGAAATCAGTCAACGACACTCTTCAACTTTATTGTTGATCATTTTGGCTATTCTAGGTCCCATGCATTACCATTGGTTTTTAGGATTGACTTGTAATTCTTTTTAAAAATAACTGATATAGCACTGAAGCTATAGTCTGAAGATGATATGCTTTGGCTCTGTGTCCCTGCCAAAGGATGTCAGAAAAGAACTGCCATCTAATAATATTGTATCTTCCAACCCATGAAATCTATCCCTCCACTTGTTTAGATCTTCTTTATTTTCTCTCATTTATTTTT